GTAGACCGTATCCTTAAGTGGAAAGAGACCCCTGGTTGCAAAGGCTGCACTGGCCATTCGCGCGTGCACACTGATGAGTGCAGAGCCCGCTTCGCAATGTTGGTTGAAAAAGAAAAAGAAGCCGAAAAAGAAAAGAAAGCTCCACCTCCCATAAGTGAAACAGAAGCAGAAGACAAGGATGATGAAGCACATGGCATCATCTTCCACGGTGAGGATCTCCCTGATCCCGATCCGATACCATCTCACCTCTCCGCAGAGGACAGAGCACTGGTTGAGGAAATCTTCATAAGAGGTGAGGTACCAGGGTCATCCGAACCCAGCGCTCCAGCCGAGCCTGCTGTTTCTGTTTCTGGTGTAGCTATTCTCCCACAAGTTGCCAATCGATGTTCCGACCTATGCCAAAAGTCGCTGCCTGTTTTTGGTTGCCCCGCTGTAGGTAAGCCAACTAACCGCGATAATCGTAGGAGCCGGAAAGCTGCCAAGAAAGCTTCCAGACCCAATGCCAAGTCAACCATGTTTGAATTTGCTTGTTCTGAGGACTCCCAGATGGGTTTTACTCACCAAGAATATGGCATTAATCATGTTAGACTTTGTAAGGATAGGATAGACCTGGGAGATGAGTCACAATGTGAGCAACTAGACTATCAGATAGATGAAGCCGCTAAGGTTGCACCTCCACATATGTGGGCCTCTATCCCTTGCACATCCGGATCCCCTTGGCAGTACATCAATAGGAAGAGGGGTGGTGCCGCGTTCATTAGGAAGCTTGCCCACCAGGTCAAAGAGTCCAAACGGTTGTTTAAGAGTTTTTCCAAACGCGCTGAAAGGGTTCTCAATCATGGTGGTACTGTAACGTTTGAATGGCCAAGACCTTGCTCTGGCTGGAAAAGGCCTGACGTTGTAGCATTCTTTGAGAAACATCCCCAGTTTATGACCGTTGGTTTTGAAGGGTGTACCGTAGGTTTAACCGACAGAAATGGTTATCCCATCAAAAAGCCATGGAAGCTCAAGACCACTTCTCCCCGAATTGTAGAGGCGTTTCAAGATATGCGGTGCCGATGCCAGCAACCTCATTCCAGATGTGAGGGAGCTGAGACCACTCGCTCCGCAATGTATCCGCCCCAAATGACTAATCTAATTGCGCAAGCTTTGTATCCCTCAAAATGTGCCCAGCAGTCCGTTCCTGCTATGCCTTGCCGACCGGCAACTAGCGAGCCTCAACCCCATAGGGAAATTGAGCAGCACCTTAAGCATGTATCCCCATTAGCTGGTTTTGAAGATTTAGCCCTAGCTGTTGAATCAGACCCCACTGCTAATAGGTTGGTTACAGAACTTCTTGACCACGAACAATTGATCGCTCAAGCCTTCCACCTGGAAGACCCTAAGGCGCCAACGCCTGAGATCAAAGCTATGGTCACTAAGCTCTTATCCCGTGCAGAGATGCTGTCCAATCCCAAGGCCCTCGAGGCAATCCGCGCCGAAGCCGATGGTTTGGTTAAGGCTGGTACATGGGATCTTGGCTCGGTCCGCGAGAAGGAAGATGTACGCAAAGAAGCTAAGGCTTCGGGTGTATCAGTACACTTTGGTCAGCTCATGACCATCGCGTCCATTAAATTCTACGAGCTTGCAGACCACCTTCACAAAATGAAGGGGCGCATCGTGTACAGAGGAGACTGCGCAAAGGACGAACATGGTGCAGCCGCGGTTTACCAAGAACTCGGCGCTAACCCCACCTCCGTCCAAGGGCTAAACGCCTGCCTGGCGTATGGGTCGCTGCCGGGTAACCGCGCGACGGCTGCAGACGCAGTCAAAGCTTACGTCCAAGCGCTGTTATCTTCCAAATACAAAACCTGGATTGAGCTTCCCCCGGAGCTCCGCCCTAAGTATTGGAAGCAACAGTTTGTTAAGCCCGTAGTCCTCTTAATTAAAGCCTTATACGGTCATCCTGATGCCGGAGGCCTGTGGGAACAACACTTGAAAGTCATCATCAAGAACCTTGGTGGACAGGAAGTTCCAGAATACCCAGGAAATTTTTACTTCCCAGATACAAAGTTACTTCTGTCAACTTATGTAGACGATTTAACTCTAGCTGGCCCCGCCGACCAGCACGATGCTTTCTGGAGTAAGTTAACTTCTGTGGTAGACATTGAACCCCCAGAGCCCATCTATAGGATTCTTGGACGCAACCATGTTGTTACCCCACTATCCAAGACCGAAGGTCATGAAAAATGTGCAGCCTTCCAAGCCCAAGATGGCATGGTTTTTGACATGGCAGACTACGCTCAGCAGACCGTAGATTTGTATAAATCAATAACTGGTGTCACCAAACTCAAGCATGCCGCCACGCCATTTCCACCTGAGGGATCCATCACCATTGAAGATGATGAAACTAAAGGGGAACTAGCTCCAAATGCATGTAAGATTTTGATGAAAGCCCTTTGGTTAGGTAGACTTGCACGTCCAGACATTATCAAGCCTATCAATGATCTGGCCACAAAGGTCCAGTCGTGGTCCAGGGGGGATGATAAGAAGGTCCTAAGATTAATCCAGTATATAGCCTCAACACCACACTACAGGTTAGTAGGTACCATTCAGGACAAGCCTGAAGACCTAGAGCTCAGACTGTTTGTCGATGCCGACTTCGCCGGCGACAGATCAACTGCACGCTCAACCTCCGGTGGCTTTCTGGTTTTAACTGGCCCTAGTTCCTTCTTCCCACTTGCATGGATTAGCAAGCGCCAAACATCCACTTCTAGATCGACCACGGAAAGCGAGGTTGTTAGTTTAGCCCATTCGCTTTATCAAGAAGGCTTGCCTGCCTTACAGTTATGGGAGCTGTTGCTTGCACGCTCCGTAACCCTCAAGGTCCACGAAGATAATCAAGCAACAATCCTAGTTGTGAAGAAAGGATATAGTCCCAAGCTTCGCCATATAACTAGAACACACAAAGTTAATTTGTCTTGCCTGTCCGAAGTCTTCAGGGATGACTCTGCCGAAATAGAGTACACCCACACCGATGATCAGGCGGCAGACATATTCACCAAGGCATTGCCTCCACACAAGTGGGCAGCAGCACTAATCCTTCTAGGAATACGTACTGATCTCCCCTTAGACCTTAAAGCCAACGCCTAGGTCGCTGCGGACACCCGTTCGCGCGACAGTAGTTGCGTAGGTTACTGCCAATGCGCAGTGCGTGTGGAACAGGCGAGGGGGGAGTTGAAATATATCGACCCCTGAGCCCCACTATGTATAGCATAGGTAGTAGGTCTAGTGTAGACATGCCGTAGCTATGATTCCATCACATCCGAAGTAGTACATCTCAATACATGTACAGTTGTAGCACAACCTATGTAGAAGCGTTACATAGGTAAAGTAGCCTTAGATTAGAGGGTAGTACTAGTCCCATCCTAACAACAACCTGGGTGGTAGTAATTAGTATGTATCCGACGTCGACTGGCTCAAGTGCCTTCTAGAAAAGGTGCTTGTTGTGTTTTCATGCAGGGTCTGGGGAATTGGGTTCCCGTTTCTGTTGGGGTCTCCGGTTCTTCCCCCTGTTTGACTAAAACATCCTAAAATCTAGGTCAATCTTGGATGGGTAGTTTAATCCAAAATATTCTTTTGGTGTCAATGGGATGATCTACTAACCAGCTAAGATTTTAATTTGTTGCAAGGTATCTAAGATTGGCCATGAAATGGAGGTACTGTACAATATAAAGCATTATAGAGCCATAGAAATTAGGTGCATCTTTGAATTTACACTTGGCCTTAGGCCTGGTACCTCATTTGCTACCTCAATTGGCCATTGAGTGGATTCCCCTTTTGGTATCGAGGAGTATGATAATCCATGGGAATTCCTTTATGAGCCTATGAACCAACCAGTCACCACTATTTTTTTCGGGATGACAGAGGATTTTTGAACACGGCTCATCTGTGCCCACAGAAGCGTCCAGCATGCTAACCTTGAGCGAAATCCTGGGTTTTCCGTAGGAATGATCTACAAATGATGGAATTTCCAGAGCTATGCTAGTTTATTGGATGATAGATTTAACGTGGAACCCAAGAATTACCATTTTTGGAATATGTTTATTGAATAGGAACATGTTTGGTGGATAGTGGATGACACATGTTCTGTTGAGTTTATTGGTAACATCCTACCAGTGGCTGGATGCTTCATTTTGAGCCACAACTGATTTGGGGGAAGGTAAAGATCCATTGAAGCATCCGAAATATGGTGAACTTGCATTTTTTTTAGGTCAATCTCGGATGGGTAGTTTAATCCAAGATAGTTTTTTGGTATCAAGGGGATTATCTACTAACCAGCTAAGAATTTAGTTTGTTGCAAGGTATCTAAGATTGGCCATGCTATCGGGATTTGATTCGATCATTATAAAATTGGAGACCATCAGGATTAAAGATTCGCGAAACATATCAAGTTTTAACCATCAGATTGGAACCACTTGAGTTTCTGAAATAATGATGTGTGGGGCATCTGTGTCAGTTCGTATGGTGGGATGAAAACTGTGTGCACCCAAAGACAAGCGGTATGAATTATTTATATAACCAACACGTAGAGACAACAGGCGAACAACATAAAAATCTACCCAGAAAAAAATTGCATTTGCTGGTTGTGTTTTGAAAAGATGATTTTTTCCATCCCCATCTTGGATGATAATCCTTGGTGACCATGGACTTAATATATACATAACTATAGTGCTGTAAGGACTTCTAAATCGCAAACCTATATACATGCCTTCTTGAAATTGGTCCATCTCCGTTCAACAAGGTGGCAATCGTAAAACAAACAAGAACATGTCAATCTGGAAGATGTTCCGATCTTTGTCCCTGATGTTTCCCATCCAAAAAAGGGGATTTCCCGATTTGGAAGTTTCTTAAGTCATACAGGGTACCCCCAAATCATTCAAAAACTTAGGCATTTTTTTGGAACCCCATGGTGACTTGGTGGTCCAAACCATTTTAAGACCCCCGCCCGCATTTCGCAGGGCTCCGGAGCCACCGCCGTCGGAGCGTCCGGCGCAAGCGCCAGCGCAAGCTCCGCGGCCGCCCGCGAGGGATGATGCGGATCCGGAGGACGTGTCCTGGGTGGACATGGTATTTAAAATGTATGTCACACATATATATATATATATTATACATATATATATATATATCATTAATTTATATGTATATATATATATATTAGTCAGTACTACTATCAAACATGATTGTATAATCATCATGATTGTTACTATTACATATAACTATCATTAACCATGTTTAACCACCATTTACCATCATTAATTACTGGTTGGTGGTTTGGAACATGTTGTATTTGTCCATGTATTGGGAACAGTAATCCCAACTGACTTTCATGTTTTTCAGAGGAGTTGAAACCACCAGCCAGTTTATGTATATCTAACCAATTATTTATATGTACAATACTATTGAATATCCTATCTGACTATTATCGTCTATGACCATGATCAACTTTATATATATATAATTATATATATATGTACAATACTATTGTTATTATGTATTGCCATTATTAACTTTATATATATGTTTAATACTATAGAATATCCTATATGACTATTGTCATCTATTACAATTATTAACTCTATAATTACTCTATATTCAATATAGTTTAAGTACAATTCTATTGAATATCCTTTCTGACTATTATCATGTTTTGCCATTATGAAGTTTATAAGTACTATATATATATATATACGTATATACAATACTATTGAATATCTGATACACATATTATCATTACAACTATATACATATACATGATGATGTATCATGTGCTGGACTATAATGACAACTATTAATGTTGAATGATGACTATGATGAAAGTACTTATATAGTCATTCTGGACTATCACAACTGATTTCTGCAAGGACTGGATGCTCCAACAAGCCTTGTCAGCGTCGCTGGAAACTCCTCAGAAGACCGAGGCAGAGGCCGACTGGCGGTCGGGGAAGGTGTGGAAGTGAGTGTTTTGATGAATAAACCAGAACCGCAACCTTAGGATTAAGAAAGCCATGAGTATACCGGATCCATCCGGATCTTACTATACTATTCTAGGATCCTAATCTGGTTGGTGGTTTCAAACATTTGGATTGTTTTCCATTTCACATATGGGATGTCATCCTTCCCATTGACGAACTCCATCATTTTTCAAGATGGTTAGTTTACCACCAACCAGTGATACATATATTACCATCTGGTTATTTCACATAACCATTTATCCACCCATTTTTTAATAGGTAAACCATCTATAACTGGGCCATTTTCAATGGTTATGTTAAATAACCAGATGATTTCCGAAACAATGGATTTATAAACCCTCCAGGCCGATCGCCTGCCAAGGCGCAAGATCCTGAGCTGTTGGATCTGCAGCTGCGACAGGCGCGGGGCCTGGGTGCTTTAATTAGAAGCAACGTTGTTTATATGTTTTTTGATGGGATACAGTGGGAGACAATGGGATATAAGCAGCAATCTAATATTTGATGAACTTGGTATGTTTTTCTTTTTGAGAGTTGTGTATACTGTATACTTAAAAACTTGCAATGTTTAGGGGACCTGAAATAAATAATCGGTGGATTTGGGCGTATGCACCATTTGAGAGAAAACCACACGGATCTATATGCATTTCCATGAGTGAACAGCCCACAATTTGTAGATAATTTTCAACATGTTTTAACGCAAAATACCATAAAGTACCCTGGTGTAGTCCAGTCCTATGGCAACCTGTTGATATTCCTCTTCCCACTTTCCAGGTGGCAGGACCCGGGATTTACCTGCAAACCTAATCACATGTCCCATCTTCCATACCAATGATCTAATGCACTAGGGGATATACAGTATACCACGACATGTTTTTTGGTAAAGAACTACATGTCATTGACAAATGCCCACTACTAGTATCAGATTTGAATCATGAGAGCATACTCCCATCGAAAACCGTTGTTTTGAAAACTAATTTCATCAAAAAAGATCAACACCGTATACCCTCTGGTAAACTAACATAGCTATGGAAAATCACCATTTTTAATGGGAAAATCCACTATAAATGGCCATTTTCAATAGCTATGTTAGTCATTACCAGAGGGTAACATTTACAGTACCATCCCACAAATGGTAGAAAGGGTCCGGCAAACCTGCACATTGCCCAAAAAAATCCTTCGACATCCTGCAACTATACTTGGATTTGTTGGGTCCCAAAGAAATAAAACATATTCACTATAGATTCCCCAGTCAGGGTGGATTTTCCATTGGGAAAATAAAAAATCACCTCAAACAAACCCAGGTATATACAAGTAGCTAGTCCTGTGAGTGCTCCAAAGCCTCGTGAGACATTCCATGGTGCTACTGAGTAGCAGCAGGCTGGCCAGGTGTCGAGAAACCCCTTGCAACCCGATGCCAAAAAGAACAAATCCTACTTACATTTATCATTTGTTTCTCATCTTCACCAAATTTTGGGGGTTACTGCAACCTATAATCTCCAGAATCAGGAATCTCGAGAATCAACTGGTCATCCTTTGTTTAAAGCACAACTGAATGGATGGCTAGTCTGGCTGATAATTTTGTACATACTCCCAAATTCACTACAGTCAATCATCTGTTCCCAAATTTTTATAGATGGGAAATCTACAGTTAACTGTAATGAATTAAACTAGAGTGAAATCCCAAATGTTAATAGATTTTAATGTTAACTGTAGTGAATGAAACTTGCCATGTTTGGTGGCCAACCCTTCAGCGTGGGACTATGCGAACTATGCCCAGGCCATGCCTGAAGAGGAGTCCGGAGATCTAATCTGGAGAAGTTGGTGAAGGATTTTCTTGGAATATGTGGCCATGCTATGCCATGATGTTCGTCTAAAAAATGCTGGCTTTCAATGGGAAAATCATCTATTTTTATGGAGCTTTGAATGGTTTTTTTAAAGCTGATTATAGATGATGATTAATTTCATTCACATAGGGTTTGCTTTTTTTCAAACCATTACTGTATGAATAATCATCAGCAAAGCCATTATGATGAATATCCATTCACCATTAGGGTTTGCTGATGATGCCGCCCACATTGCGCATGGAAAATTGGAAAAATCCACTGGGTCATCTTGGAAAAAAGGTGCCGTTTCCAGCGTTTCCAGAATGGAAAAAAGGATGGTATAGATGACTGGTTGGTGGTGACTGGAACATATGTTTTATGACTTTCCGTATTTTTCCATTCAGTTTGGAATTTCATCATCCCAACTGACGAACTCCATCATTTTTCAGAGGGGTAGGTATACCACCAACCAGATGATATTTCCTCCATAATTTCCAACTCTTGGGAACCCTCTGGTAATCAAACTTACCAATTCAAATGCCGTTAGATGGGGAATGTCACATTCCCATTCCCATTATCGATGTGGAACAAAAAACATGTTTTCTAGATTATGTTGCTAGGGTTTTTGAATGGGTTTTCCACGACATCTTTTTGGAAGTTTACCCTATGCCCTATGGTTAGCATGTCATTATCATTATTACTATCAACCATATTAACCATGATTACTACATAGTACTACTTAATAGCAACAATCATTAGAAAAAACCATGACAAACTGTTTACTTACTATTTCGATAGAAACCATGGTTTTAAGTTTTTACCATCATTAGTACTTAATATTAACCGAATCATTCTCAACTTTTATTAGTACTAGTAGTACTCTCCAGTATCAGCAAGGCCAGGTTTCGTCATTTCGTCACCCAAGGTTGGACCTTCAAATGGCTCTCAGTGCCAGCCTTCATGCGCAGGTGGGATTTTGTGGGTGGGTGGCATGGCATGGCACCACGGTTTTTGCCACCAGAAATGGATGTTTGAATGGCTGCAAATGGCTATATAATACATAAATATACATAAATGACATTGAATGACTATAGAAATGGACATTTAACAATCAAAAATGAAGGTTTAACATGCGTTAACCATGAGAAATGTGGATGTATAGCCAATGCAATGGCCAATATACGATCAAATACCGCCCACGACTGGACCCCAAGGGTTTCAAAAAAATCGGGGGGCAGGATGAACCAATAAGAAATGAGGCAGGATTCCTCAAACTGCCACCCTGCGATACACATTTTGGCAGACTTCCTTTCGGGACGAAAATGAGCAGGTCCTGTTGGAAAATGGGATTTTGGGCTTTGGTATCCTATTTGAGTCTGAAAATTATCCAGAAAAAAAACACTGGTTTTCATCATCATTTTGCCGTATTGAGCCATTTGGTATAGCCAATTTTCAGATCCATTTTTAGACAATCTCTCAAAAATGCTGGGGTGAAATCGCTACCGGAAATTTGCCAGCTTGGGGAGGTTTTATCTGATTCTTATGATTTTGCCTGTGCTTATTTTTTGGGGGCTTTTTTGGGCCGAGATTCAACTCTCACAGCCATGTGTTGAAACTCGACTGACAGGTTTTATATTTTTGTTTACCCTCTGGTAATGGCTGATGTAGCTATTGAAAATGGCCATTAATAGTGGATTTTCCCATTAAAAATGGTGATTTTCCATAGCTATGTTAAATTACCAGAGGGTAAATGGTTTCATGATTGTGAAGATTCCTCTCTGAAGCGTGTGAATTGACCAGCATATCAGCATATCTACCATGTGTTTTACAATGACCAAGAGGATAAATCACTGATGATCACAGTGAGTAGAAAATGATTTTAAAAAATGCCTTGCCTTTGAAACCGTGTCACCTGGCGACGCTGCAAAGTTGTTCTACACCCCCTAAATTTAAGGAATGGAACCCAACAAGGCCCCATATCCAGGAGTAATCTAAAAAAATCAGTAACCCCATGTTTACAGATTTTTTTTCTAGGTTCCACCTTAGAATAATGGCTTTAATGACGTTGAATGGTCTAACGAGGCAACATTGGTTTCTTGCTGCTGATCCCAAAATTGGCAGAAGCTTTCCGTTGCTTTGTCTCCCTGAAGTTCGTGGCTGTGCCATGGTCAATTTGTCAATTCTCCGCATGACAAGGATGTCCATCCATGATATTCCATGATCATGATGATGATTATTCATAAATAAGCACTGTTAGATGATTACTATGATGATTATTAGATTATTACTATGATCATGATGATTATTATTATTATTTGATGGTGATGTTATTGATGATTATGATTGTATTTGATGACATGGATGTCCATCCACCGGTGATTTATAACATTTTATAACGTTAATGATGGAGATGTTATGACTATTTCCCTTCATTAACGTGATAAATCACCGGTGGTTTATCCATCACTGGCGGTGCTGGGATGACCTGCTGGGATGACCAGCTGGGATGACCAGGCCCATGAGGCCGACGATCCCAGCTGTGCGGGTGCAGCTGTGGGTGAAGAAGCTGCAACTTGGCGTTTCAGCTGTGGGTTGAACAATGGTGACCCAGTCAGCGTTCAATTTGTTTTGTGTGTTTCAGTGGAAATTGGTGTAGGCTATAATATATATATATACATTTTTATGTGTATGTATATGTGTATACATATATATATATATATGTATATATATGTATATATATATATGTATATATTTACTGTACATATATAATTATATTGTATACATATGTTTGTATATATATATACTGTACATATATAATTATATATATGTATACATATGTTTATATATATATATATATGTATATGTGTATATATATATATGTATATGTGTATATATGTATCATGGGACCTTGCTGAGCCTTGCTGCATTTTGATGTTTCCATGAGCGTCTTATTTTGCTGACATGTTGCTCGTACTCCTATTGGTTGATGTTTGCTTTCATTACATCCAACTGTTATAGGTAGTTTCAAATCGTTTATATAGTTTATATCCCAAACCTTTTTGCCGGGTGGCTTGGAGACATCTACATGTAAGATGTAGGGACATAGCCTCAACATACATGATATGAACCATCTATTCTTTACTACTTCTTGCTATTACTTCACCATTCTAGTCGGTTGAAGCCCCATGTTTGTTGCCACCCAGAAACGATCTCATTGTTGGTGGTTCACCCAAGTTAGTGGGTGAATTTGCACCACTTACAACTGGACTAACCATGACTAACCCTCTACCCATCCTGCTTATTTCATGCCAAACTTCGGAGCCCCATCTCTGAATTTTCCGAGTCGATGATTTGCTAAAAAATGTTCCCGATGGGATATCTATCCACGTGGGGAATATATACATTTATTTATTTATCTATTTATTTATTATTTATTTACAGTACATATGGGGTTTCCTTGAGCGAATCCAAGCTATGCTCCGAATGTCGAGGAGCAGGAAGAAGAAAGGGCTCGCCTATCGGCCTCCGCGCAACACCACCTGTCACAGGTTTCCGACCTTTATCCCCGTGCTGGGTCAAGCAGTTTGAAGTGGGCAGTTTAAGCATCAGAAATTTGGGGTTAAATAGAGGGTTTGACCAAAAAACATGGGGGATTAAATGATTTAACCAAGAAAAAAATTGTTTGTACAGTAATCATCAAAAATGATGGTTTAAGATGCCTTCACCATCCTGAAATGGGGATTTCATCATATCTAATCATATTAGAACAGTGGCTGCAAGACACCCTTGTTGGGTGAAACTAGGGGATTCTACGAAACCAAAAATCGGTGACAATCATCCCGTAGGAGAAATAGCTCCTGAATTCTTCATGGGGCAGCCCAAAATCTATTGGTACCCTCTGGCTATGACTAACATAGCCATCGGAAATGGCCCATAGAAATAGATGGCTTACCGAACTTAAAAATGGGTGGATTTTCCATGGCTATGTTAAATCACCAGATGGTAACTCTCATCATTTTCCTGGGTGCTGATGCCAACAGATCTGACAGGAGCAAGAGAAGTTGCCAGAGGACGAGGTGTGTAACACAAGAGGCGTCCAAAGGCAGAAAGTTAACCCACGATGGCTATTTTGTTGGGGACAATTATTATTTAAGCAAAAGGAATTTGGTGTAACTACATGTAACTACCCTATTTGCAGACAAATCTATGTTGATATGAGTGTTTGATAGTGTTTGAGATAAATGGACGGGTTCGAGCGATAAATCTCACAGTAAATTCACCTCTGCATTTGATGGCACATAAAACCTTTAATAAAAACAGTAAACTTTCCATTGGACCAATCTCTTCACGGAAATCTCGGTTGGTGTCAGTTGCTGTCCTGAGATTGCCCTACCCAGAAGGTGAAGGCGGAGCTTAAGGCACAACCTCACTTTTCACACCGTTGGCCGGGTGTGGGGCACTCCGATGCCAGGGGTGGCTAAAATGGGCGTTTGATGTTCTCTGTCACAGGTTGTGACTCGGAGATGCTCACGCCTACCCGCCAACCCAATGTGCTTGGGGCCAACGCACTCCACGTGCCTTAATGCACAACATGTGCAGCACTCCGGGTGTATGACAGTGAGACCATGGGCTATTCGGTGCTCACTGGGCACATTTCCTACGACTAGCTGGAGCCAGGCGTAATTCGGGTCGCGGTCCTGGTCTGGCATTGGACCGAGGCGGGGAGGCCGACTTTCAAACGAAAATCATCGACGTGCTGAGCTGTATGCCTTGCGGTGACTTCGCGTGTCTTGGAAAACATCAATTCTGCTCACAGTTCTGTTGTTGTCAGAAATTGGGGATTGTACAGACGGCAAAAACATGCGGTTTGTCTCTGCGTCCACTAGAAGCTTGAAATGTTTGTTCAGAAAAGGTTGGGGAAGACAATTCCAAATAGTTTCCATTTATATGTCAGTCTTAGACAGTATGAGTATGAGTTGAAGAGTAAGCAGAAAAGATGCAGATCACCAGTGCATGTTGATTTATTCAAAATCAGGGGGTCTCCATGCTAATGGCAAAAAATCATGAAAAATCAATGACCTTCCTTTTGTGTCGTCAAATGTGGCGGGCTGGGAAATCCCCAAATCAGCCATGGCGGTTTTGTAGTGACTGTCTGTGGGGAAATCATCGAACTATTGCTGGGGGCTTTTCCAGCAAGCCATGGAGCTGATTGCCGGATGGTACGTATAACATACGTTAACAAATTGTAATTAAATGGGTATGGGTCAAAATTAGGTACCCCAATAATTGGATGGTTAATACTAAACTAGACTAACATCTGTGGTCCCACATCGGTCTTCCATTTTGACCCACATCCAAATGGTACCCTGTTGATAAATTCTGGGTTGACACTACACTCAAAGCAGTTTCGACGCCGTGATTCTACCAGAGGTTGCACCACAAAGTGGCCTTATTTGGATTTATTTGGAACTGTTGCTTGCTGGCTTCCAATGAAGATACTGTCAGCTAGGGTTTCAGGTCTGAGATGCCGATGGTGTTGATGGGTTCTATGTTTTTTGATCACATCCTGGTTGTGTATCTTGTTCAGGATCTCTGTCTGCGCACCTCCTGGTGTGAATTGGCGACTGTCAGTATGGATGTGTTCTCGCTCTTTCCCATTTTGGTGGGCAGTTGTGATGTACGATGAACTGTTGGTTTCAGCTTGGGACCCTTTGGACTTGCCCTACCCAAAGAGTGTTGGCAGTAGCACAGCCTCACTCTTCACACCGTTGGCCGGGTGTGGGGCGCTCCGATTTACCTGGGGCTCATCGAAACTCCTGCAGCAGGTGGATTGATTCGCTCAGTGCGTTTGGGGCCAACGCACCTTGTGCTCAAAGCGAGGTGTATGACAGTGAGACCATGGGCTATCGGTGCTCACTGGGCGTATCTTCCCTGCACAGTACAAGCCTGGTCGCCCTGATATGAGATCTTTTCAGATGGAGTTGTGGACCTGCGCTCGGTGAGCGCGGCTCCCACCGTTGGAACCGCTGCACCGTTGGGCCCGGGGTCGGGGGACAACCACCCAGCGTTCCCTACGTGGGATCGGAGCGGCGAACTACGCCGGCGCAGCGGCGCTGCTACCCTGGAAGACGTCAGGAGGGCGTAGCTGCTGTGTGGGGTCTGGTAGATATCGGATCGGGGAGGCCAAACCTCGAGTGCTTGGACAACGTGCTTTGGGTTGTCGTTACATGTGCGGTTTACAGCGTTTTGTCCATGTGGTAAACCCTTTCTGATCAACTATCCCATACTATCCCCAATGACTTTGCGTACGTGGTTGGTATTCGTATCATCTACACATATAGTAGTATTTGTTTATGGGGTTTTAGCAGGTTGAAGAACCCCCAGGTACCTTCCGGTGATTTAACAGTTTCCTATGGCCTGCTTTGGTATACATCACACATCTGTAGAGATTTATGGTGATATATATATATATATATATCTCTATCTACTTGTATTGTGACCTGTTACCTATTTAAAGTTGCTATTTTCCATAGTAATGTGCTAAGTTAGGAGAGGGTATACATCTTTGGTTTGTTGTTTTCTATGTTGAATCATATTTCGGATGATGATCTCCAATGACAAGCACGTCTTCTAACTTTGGGTGGTTGAAACATGTGGAAATCGCCAAAGAGTACTGATTCTGTGATAAATAGATAGACCGACAGGCAGAGAAAGATAGGTAGAGATAGATAGAGAGATAGCGAGAGAGATAGATAGAGAGATAGATAAAGATATATATATAGAGAGAGAGATAGATAGAGATATAGATAGAGAGATAGACAGAGATATAGATAGAGAGATAGAAAGAGAGATAGATAGAGACAAAGAAAGAGAGATAGATAGATAGACAGACAGACAGACAGACAGATAGATAGATATATAGATAGATAATGATAGATAATGATAGATAATGATAGATAATGATAGATAATGATAGATAATTATGGATAATGATAGATAAGGATAGATAATGATATATAATGATAGATCATGATAGATCATGATAGACAATGATAGATAATGATAGATAATGATACATAATAATAGATAATGATAGATAATGATAGATCATGGTATATTGATAATGATAGATAGATAATGACAGCTAGACACTGATAGATAGATAGATAGATAGATAGATAGATAGATAGATATAGATAGATATAGATAGATAGATATAGATAGATATAGATAGATATAGATAGATATAGATAGATATAGATAGATATAGATAGATATAGATATAGATATAGATAGATATAGATAGATATAGATAGATATAGATATAGATACAGATATAGATAGAGATAGAGATAGATAGAAAGATAGATAGATAGATAGAAAGATAGATAGATAGATAAATAGATAAATAGATAAATAGATAATGATAGACAGATAATGATAGACAGATAATGATAGATAGATAATGATAGATAGATAATGATAGATAGATAGATCATGATAGATAGAGATAGTTAGATAGATAGAGATAGGTAGATAGATAGAGATAGGTAGATAGATAGAGATTGGTAGATAGATAGAGATAGAGATAGATAGAGATAGAGATAGATAGAGATAGAGATAGAGATAGAGGTAGATAATGATAGACAGATAATGATAGATAGATAATGATAGATAATGGTAGTTAATGATAGATAATGACAGATAATGATAGAAAGAGAAAAATGTTAGAGATAGACATATCGATAGAGATAGATAGATAGATGGATGGCTAGATAGGTAGATAGATAGATAGAGATAGAGATAGAGATAGATAAAGTTAGATAGGGATAGATAGAGTTAGATAGAGATAGATAGAGATAGATAGAGTTAGATTGATATTTATAGATAGATATTGATTGATTGATTGATTGATAGATAGATAGGCAGTTCGATAGATAGATAGATAGATAGATATATAGATAGACAGACAATGATAGATAGAGATAGAATGGTAGAGATAAAAAAAGGAAATATAGACAGATAGATAGTTAGTTAGATAGATAGATATTGACAGATAGAGAGGTAGGTAGATAGATAGATAGATAGATAGATAGATAGATATAGATAGATATAGATAGATATAGATAGATATAGATAGATATAGATAGATATAGATATAGATATAGATAGATATAGATAGATATAGATATAGATACAGATATAGATAGAGATAGAGATAGATAGAAAGATAGATAGATAGATAGAAAGATAGATAGATAGATAGAAAGATAGAAAGATAGAGATACGATAACACCATGGAAAATGTCCCCGGGGAGCTCCTCCACAGCTCTTGCGAGGTCAAAAAGGAGGCAGTTGCGGAGGCTCTACCCAGGCTGCTGCGCGGGAAGTGCGGCGTCGGTTGTGGAGGGTTGGATGAAACCATCAATGCGGATTTAACCGGCCGCAACATGTGAATGGATTTTACATAACCATTTGACAACAAATTTATAACCATCATATAAAGAATATTTGTTTATAATATATAATGCCAACACCGCATTAATAAACCCCCCCCAGACGGTCAGAACTCACCTTGTAAAGTCTTTCCTGGTGTCCCCCTAAATAAACTGCCTCTGAACCATAAAATTTTGGATATGGTTTACGTCAATTGGCTGAAAGCTATGGGGGACATTGGGAATGAATAGGCAAATCCAAAGAAAAAACATTAGGAACATGGTGGTTGATTAATCAGGGGCAAACCCTGATTATTATCAATGGGGGACATGGGCTCATGGGGGGTACCCTTTAGGAGCTATCCAAACTGATGATTTTTATAAAGAATTCGATTAGAAATCGATCATATGGGGAATAGTTGTTTTTTCAAATTTTCAATGATCAACGGTGATGGGTTCTGGTGTTCATGTGGTTTCAACTTAAATATATATCATAAGGAAACCATAAGGAAACCATTTGAAATTTTTGGATTTAAAAAAATTGATTTCAGTACTGGTGGTTTTTTAATCGGGGGTGGTTATTAATCTGGGGGGACCACCTGTTTTTAAATTACAAAAAAATGGGCAGTGGTGGTTGATTAATCTGGAGGGGTTAATTAATCCTGACTTGACATTATATTTTAAGATAATATAAGATAAAATAATACAATATAATATAACATAACATAATATAACATAGCATAACATAATACAATATAAGATTCGATAAGATAAATATATTATAATTCAATATGATAGAAGATAAGATAATATATTTTGATATAACATAACATTTATTATAATGTTTAATATAATATGATATAACATAATATAATATAATATCATATCATATATTAAAATATAATATAATATAGACTACAATATAATACAATATAATATAATAAAATACAATATAATATAATATAGACTATAATAGACTATAATATAATATAATATGATATAATATGATATGTTTTGATATGATATAATATAATATATATATATATATTAGGATATCTAATGTTGTATCATTACCAAAAATGAACAATGAATGTTCGCAACAAAAAACAATATTCAGGGAAGATGAAAAACCAATATCATGGCCCATGGATTGTCCATCACTTGGCAGTGGAAATATGAGACAGGATTAGAAAAACTACCGAATCTTACCATGATTGGATATATAATTCAACCATGAAACATGGATTTTTACCCATATATAGTTTTTGATATAGTGTATAATCCCATCCGTTCATATGAAACAGGCCTTATGTATTGAATTTTGGTGCTCCCTAGTGATTTCCGAAACCATCCACCATAGTGGGTTTCTGGGTTGACTCACGTTTTGGAGGGTCCCAAGGTGGGCCACGTTTGGTCAAAGATTGTGAGATTTCAATCCCGAGGAGAACTATGTAGTGATTATGTTTATTATAATCCACTAATCCACTATATTATAAATAATCCAATTATTGTAATCCAACTCAGATTTGTTATACTGATATACTGGACATGAAGCCAGTATGGGGGCTCCCGGCTCCACACGTGGGCACGTGAAGATTCCGTGTGGGTGGTTTCACCCTGAATCAGATCAGGTCAGGTCTGTTTCGAAAACCTGGAAGTTGGATTCTATGTTTTACCATCTGGTTATGACTAACATAGCCATAGAAAATCACCATTTTTAATAGGTAAACCATCTATTTCTATGGGCCATTTTCCATGGCTATGTTAAATAACCAGATGGTAACACAAATGTGTGAGGTTCAACAGGTCTCTCGAAAGACTTGATGTGTCTAGGTTTTTAAATACAGTTGATGGATTGAAACCAGCAAGGGAATTTGAAGATATAGAGCTTTGTCCGGAAAATCCGAAAATCATCAACCACCAACCTGCAGTTTGATGTTTTTCTTGATGAAAGACCATGAAAAACCTGGCTGTTTTAATTTCAGTGCCAGTGGCCGCCAGTGTCAGGCCTGCAGCCTCACCAACCAAGGCGGATCTTGTTGGGCTCAACAGCCTCGTGACCTTTTGACTGAGAAATTCCGATTGTGTATTTTTGCCCCGTCTTTTTGCTCGAAGTGGGCATGTTGGTGAAATCTAGATGGGGTCTGCTCATATCTTCATCATCGCCATGATTGCCAACCAGAATCCCACGAATCTTGTTGGACAATTCCTCATGTGGTTGGTGCTTTGGACCATTTTTGATATATATAGTTTCCCCATATTTTCGTTGGGATGATGATCCAATCTCACGAACTCTATCATTTTTCAGAGGGGTAGGTTAACCAACCACCAACCAGTCATGTGTGTTGATTTTCGCCGCCATTGAAGGCAAAAAACCCGCCCTTTCAACCGAGAAACAACTGGGACCCAAGGGACCTGTCGTGCGACTGCAGGAGGGTGTCAGTGCACCGTCCTAGGCGCATGGGATGTTGGGTACCCCAGTGACCTTGAATCACATGGAAAACCACGGATAGAAATCCTGCACCACCTTGAGCCCTATAAATAATAGACAAAAACCACCTGTCAACTGGTGTAGGATTTCTTCCACTGTATATTTCAAGCATGTCCAAAAGATCTTACCCTTTGGTAATCTAACACTTCGCCGTGGAAAATGGCCGTGTTTACTAGGTAAAATCATCTACAAGTAGGTAATGTTTCATGACTATGTAAAATTACCAGGGGGTACTTGAAGTTTGAAGAATACTTGGCAGTTGGTTTGCTTATTGTTTTATATAATGGATGGAGGTGTCCTAAAATGGGACTAATTACCCCTAAATCATCCTAAATCATCCATTTATAGATGGATTTTCCATTATGAACCAACCATTTCGGGGCACCATTGATGGAAACCCCCATATCTGAAATCTCTCTTGTTTGAAGAAGGATGTTTCAATCCAACAAAAACACCTTTTGATGCAGTGAAAGCGCTGGGTTTTCAGTCATTTCTAGTAGCCCAACTTGGTGATGAAACATCTGGAAAGTCTCAACTTTTTCCCGAAAATGTGATCGTCATGGGCCATATGGGTTTCCAGCAAAGCAGGTTGAATTGCTGGTTGGTGGTTTGGAACATTTGGATGATTTTTCCAATATATAGGGAAGAATCATCCCAACTGACGAACTCATATTTTTCAGAGGGGTTGAAACCACCAACCAGATTGAGTTGAGTTGGCTAGTTGGGAGTTCATGTTCCATCCCAGTAACTCCCGTAAGGCTGTCATTTTCACATCTCTTCACCATCGCCACCATCACAGCAAGCACCACCAGCGTCGAATCAAAATCAGAGCCAGGTCGCTGCGATCTGTCACCGGCATGAGAGCACCAGGTTGGAGAGAATGCTGGTGGGTCAATTGATGTATGGCAACCATAGATAGATAATGATAGATAGCAGAAGGAAACCAAACGAAAACGTTCGAAGAACCATAAACATCTTCGAATTCGTGTGGTCCTACGAATAGTGCGAGCCCAGGTCCTAGGCACCCAGATTCCATTGATGGAGCCCCATTGTGAGTCTTCGCTTCTGTCCCCAATTGGAGCCCCAAGGGTTGGAGAGGTGTAGCAAGAATAGAAACATCAGAGTGACATAACCTACTTCCGAACTTTCGAGAAAACCTACACTGACCTGCAGTTACACTGAATCAATCTGGCTGAAGAAACTCATCACACCCCGCGATCTGGCCAATCTGGCAACAACTGACGAAACATGATGCGATTGTGCATTCTAAGCCAATCTGGAGAGGTGTGAAAAATGATGATGTTTTCGAAAAGCGGTTAAATAAGACATGAAACCAATAAATATATGTAATTATATGTGTATATATATATTATATATAATATGTATATATTATATATATATATGTATATATACAAATATACATGTATATATAATGTGAGACTTGAGCATGGCTTCTGGTGAGTGACTTGCGACCTCAGCACGTGACACACTTCAGGGCGAGTTGTACCCATACTGGGGAAGTCCAGAACATGTTCCCCTAAAACCATTCAGGAACTGTTACTGTTGTCGCTCTAATTCCAATGGCTAGAGACCCATCCAGAGAACTTCCTGGGATGCGTGAAATCAGTCCCTGGGATGTCCTGGGAATGGGTGCACGCGCCGGGAAAGGCGCTACAAAATTCAGAATAGGAAGATGTGTTTGTCCGACAATCTTGGGGATGTTCATGTTGGTGCTAACAGGAGTCTGGATCCCAAAAAAGGGGGATGCAGCCCCAAAAATGTGGCTCGTTGTTTTATTGCCACACTTGAATCTTCATTGAAACCTGGTGATTTTTTTCTGACTTTCAGCAGGACCTATCCCTTGGATTCCTGTTTTGACAGCTAGCACAGCTGGTCCTTGTGTTCAGTAGATTTGGGTCTCAACATGTTGGACAAGCAAATTTCAAAGCTATGAAGTGCCTACAGTCGAGACGATGGCAAACCAGCTCGCTGCAATTTTGTCGATTGCACATGTTTCTGCTATATCTATCTAAGGTCAGCCATGCAATGAACTTGGTGTTTTTCCCATTGTTTGAGACTCGTTCCTCGGGGTCGGCACAGTTGCCCCAAATCGGGGACGGCCCGCGAAGTCATGCCCAGCGGCACTAGCCGTTGCTGGTGCATTGTTTTACACCCCCGGCCCCAAACCAGGGCACCAAGCGTTGAGAAAAGCAAGTGCGAAAGAAGAGCCAGCGGGGATATGACAGGGACAAAATGAGTATATCATGGTATACCGGGAGATAATGGGATATAGAACATTACAGAACCAACAATATTAAATTGTTGGTTTGCCCAAAAATCATGACCATGGGAGGATTGAGGGATGCCATATTTTCAGACAAAGCCATTTGAGAAGTGACGAGGAGTGGGCATGGCTTAAAAATGCTCAAAAGAACAGTGAGGATTGACCGACTAAATTTGGGATGATTTAGCCAGCAAAATAGATGGTGTTTGGGGAGTTTTACCAGGGAAAACATGGATTTAACATGGATTTACTGTAACTACCATTCAACACCCATAATCTCTTGGAATGGCTCAACACTGTATACTTCCCCACACTGAATGAAATTTAGACATAGAAATGACGATTTTCTTTGGTCTCTGGTTGCGCTAATTTCATCTCATCATTTTTTCATTCTCACAAGGGTATGGTCGAAAGATGTCGAAAGTCTTTTTCACCAACTCATATCAGGGCCGGAGTTTCGTTGTCACTCCTGATTTGGGATTCAATCCTCCAAAAGAGCGGGATGGAAACTGCCTCCGTGCCAAAAAAGAGGCGTCGAGAAAATGTCCACAAACGGCAAAAGGGGCCCGAGAAAGATTCGGCTACAAGATTGCATATATCCCACCACCTTCAAATGTCTTCAAATAAAAAAAAAATCAGTTCTTTTTGGTGGATCTGATATTGGCCATGGCATTGGCTAAGTCGGGTTATGTCGGGTTATACCGAAACTACCACCCGTGTGGAGGTACCGTTTGCGCAAGACCTGCTTGTTTCGGGACATTGATCCAGCGGCTTCTCGTTTCCGTGCGCCTTGGCAGCCTTGGCTGCCCGAAGTTTTTCAAGGAAGATGTACCCTCTGGTAAACTAACATAGCTATTGAAAATGGCCATTTATAGTGGATTTTCCCATTAAAAATGGTGATTTTCAATAGCTATGTTAGTTTACCAGAGGGTACAGGAAGGCCTTATGTGTTGGGTGACAAAGATTGAAAAAGACCACTTAGTGTTCGGTGGTGCCCCCAAACGATAGCGTTCAGTTGGTGAACATAACTCCAATTTGCCTATGGTTTATAGATGATGTATCTACAGTTAATGGGATTATAAACCAACTTATAACTTGGAGGGCACCACCTTGCAGTGTTCCTATGTATATAAATGAGAGTAAATGGAGGCTTTTCTAGGGGAAACTCACCTACAAATGATGGATTTTCCACATATCATCACATATCATGAAATATTGGATTTGCTGAAGATAGTTTCTTATTTCCCGAGGGGAATTCCACCAGCAGATGATTCACACGGCAGAGGAGGTGATATGGAATCCCCAAGCAGTTTGTGACATTGATGGAGTGCAGGTGACAGTCCAACAGGTGGATGGGCCGGTAGTTTCAATTGCACATGAGACCTTGTTCCAGCAACCCTGCACATTCACAACCAAAACTCACTTCGCCACCCCAAATGCCATCATTGGAAAGCTTGAAGAGTTCTGGAAACAACGATGGTGGAAGCAGACGCCACCTGCATCCTCTGATTGGGACAGAATGTTTGCCTTTGCTGAGCAATACCTTCCAAGGGCACAGATGTCTTATTCTCCCATTTTGGAGGATCAATGGTCTGAGGTCAACAAGCGATATGGACCAAGATCGGCTCGGGGGCCTGACAGTATGGATAGAAGGGACCTTCAATGGCTTCTACCAGATCTCCAGGAATCCCTTATCAACCTCCTGAACCATTGTGAGAAATTGGGACAATGGCCGGATGCCCTGCTGGCAGGCTTCGTTTATCCTTTGCCGAAGAAACCTGAAGGGACAGCAGCAGGGGACTTCCGCCCGGTGATCCTTTACTCCATGGTTTACAGAAGTTGGTCATCCCTAAGAGCAAGAGAATGCCTTGGACATCTGGAAAGGCTTGTTGATCGTCACCAATTTGGCTTCCTACCTGGCCGTGAAGCAGTGCAAGTGTGGTTCACTATCCAGGCCTATATCGAGATCAGCATGCTGGCCGGACAAGAACTTTGCGGCTGGGTCACGGACATTCAGAAGGCCTTTGAGAACATTCCCAGAGGTCCAATCAAGTGGCTTTCAAAGAAGTTAGGTGTACAGCATCGCATTGTGAACTTCTGGCACAATTTCCTGGACAACACCACCAGGTACTTTTCGCTGCATGGGGTGGTGGGACAGCCCATGCTTAGCAATAGTGGATACCCTGAGGGATGTGCTACGCCATGCTTTGCAATGGGGCTTGCTGACTTGGTCTTCCATCTCTACTTGCAAGCGTATTCACAGATGGTCACCCCAGTTTCCTATGTGGACAATTTTGAACTCATTGCGAACTCTATGGAGCATCTCCAACATGGCATACTCTGCACAGAGGAGTGGAGCGAAATGTGGCATATGAGCCTGGACAAGGCCAAAAGCTTTGTGTGGGGGACCAGCGCCAAACTGCGCAAGGAATGCCAATCAATGGGATGGAAACTCCGAGAGAGTGCAGTTGATCTTGGCGCGAACATGGTCTATGGTAAGAAGAACTACATTCAGGGTGCTCTGGAGCGTCTCAACGGTATCAAACCTTTGTGGGATCTCCTCAAACGACTCCCGGCAGCTGACTGGAAGAAGCAACAAATCCTGCAGCAATGTATTTGGGCAAAAGCATTTTATGGTTGCTCCAATTCTCCTCTGGGGAAATCACACATTCAAGATCTTCGATCTGCAGCCATGAAGAGTCTTAAGAGAAACCGAGCGGGAGCCAATCCACTTCTGGCTCTGAGCACACAGGAGTCGATGGCTTGTGATCCCGGCTTCTACCAGCTCTGGAATGTCCTCACCACCTTTAAGCGCATGCTGGACAAGCAACCGCACTTGGTGGAGATGTGGAGCTATTTCATGAACCATTTTGCAGGTCAACGCAGTATTGGTCCATTCGGGAAACTACTTGAGGTTGCAGGTGAAGTTGGTTGGTGCATTGAGGTCCCAGGCTTCTATGATCATGATGGTTTCTGGGTCTCATTCCTTGACATCACTGAAAGCGCTCTGAGAGGCATCGCGGAGGACGCATGGTGCCAACATATGGCCAGAACAGTGAGCAAACGGAAAGACTTTGAGGGCTTGCAAGGATTTGACCTTGCTGTTTTTCGAGCGGCGAGAAAGAAGCTGGATTTTCGAGTCCGCAAGATGCTGCAAGCGGTGCAGGATGGCTCCTTTCTGGATGCCAGAGCACAGAGCAAGTTTGACATGGGCAAGAGTCGTCTCTGCGCTCGATGCGGTGAGGATGACACACATGAGCATCGCTGCTTTCGTTGCCGTGAATTCTCAGAAATCCATGCAAAGCACCAGGAAATCATCAGCGAGGCCAATGATCTCACATATGCACTTCGCGCCCATCTGATCCCCTCGAGGAATGAGCATTGGGCGGCTTTCAAGCTACATCTGGCCAAGCCAGAACATATTGAACGACATGCACTACCTAGAGGGGAAAAGAGAATCGATCTCTTCACAGACGGCAGCTGCTGGAATCCTGAACTTCCTGACTATGCCATTGGGGCTTGGTCGGTGGTATGTCCTCAGGCAGATCGATGGGTGGCCCGGGGGACGCTCTCGGGACTTCGTCAGCACAACGACAAAGCTGAAGTACATGCCATCAAGAATGCGTTGGACATTTCCTTTGACTTTCATGGAGATGTAATCATTTGGAGTGACAGCGCTTTTGCCACTTCGGGGCTACATCGTCTTCTTCAAGACCCACATGATTCACCCGAAGATCCAGGTGATGGCCTATGGATGGACATACAGGGACTAGTGAGCGGAAGAGCTGGTGCATTGTATGTGCAACATATTGCCGCACATCGAGATGGCTGGAAAGAGAATGACCCAGTAGATGCTTGGACAGCAGAATGGAATGATAGAGCTGATCGTGAGGCTGGAGCAGCTCAACTCCTTCGTGGACAAGACTTCATGGGGTGCAGAGATCAACTCCTTCGTGCTTACAGACAATCACTTCGCCGACTGCAGCTGACACAGAAGTTGCACATGGACGTCTCAAATCACAGGCTTCAAGCAGGACATCAGGAGGATGAAGAAGAGGGGGACCATGATTCCGCAATGAGGGCTTGGCGGCATGGTCGTTTGCTACATGCGGACTCCAGTTGGCTGTTCGCCATGGATCCAAATTGGTTGATTCACCTTCCTGGGTCAGACCTTGTGGCTAGATTTGGGATGAAGTTTTCTCGGGCCATGATTCAATGGCTCCATGACCAACGTGATGCTGAAGATTCGTTGGACACCAGATGGACGTGGCTGGAGATCGCGATCTACTGGCTCAAGTACTTCGACGACAAGCTCCCTACGCCTACTTCTTTTGGGACATGGGAGGATTCGCTGAGAGGCGGTAGACACCGTCCAACTGTGGCGGCGATCGTACATTTGGTACGTCGTTTTTTCCACTTTTTGAGCCCTTTTCTTGGGGTTGACATCCTTTTTAGCAGTGGCCAGTCACTGCTTCCATTGGCGGTGCACCCCCCACAGGGGGGTGTGCACATTCGATTGACCCAAGGGGTCCTGACGGAGGCTCAAGAGGCTCTCCTTGCTTTTGTTGCTCACCGCCCAATACGGGTAGTGAATGACTTGACGCGGCCACTTCGGTAGCGGTGGTGCACATAAGGTTTGACTGCCACTGCTACC